ATCCAATGTAATGTAATGCTGCATTGTGGCCACTAGATGGCACTAAGGAGCACAGGAAATACTTTTCTATTCAGGTCCAACGTAATGTAATGCTGCATTATGGCCACTAGATGGCGCCGGGGAGCATAGGAAATACTGTTCTATTCAGGTCCAATGTAATGCTGCATTATGACCACTAGATGGCGGTGAGGAGCACAGGAAATACTTTTCTATTCAGGTCCAACGTAATGTAATGCTGCATTATGGCCACTAGATGGCGCCGGGGAGCATAGGAAATACTGTTCTATTCAGATCCAATGTAATACTGCATTATGGCCACTAGATGGCGCTGAGAGTCTGCAGGGTCCGGTCTAGGGGCCATCCAGAATCGCGGTTCTCTTTTATTTTAACTCCCTAGTCAAAGCGAGCACCTAACCCTTGCTGTGCATGGGGAAGCCTTACTGCAAGGGTTAAGATTTTATTTGCCCGGATTTCTTTGGGGAAAAAAAATGGTAATACTGCCACTGATGGTACTTGTTCGGGCACATCCTGTTGTAGGGTGACAACACTCTATCCCTGTCTCCCAACTGGTATCCTGCGTTGTCACCCTGTCACATGCGCTTCTAATGATCAATTATTACACAGACATGGTCAACTGTTGTCACCATCAGAAGATCCCAACACCATGCACCCGGCACAGGAATGCATGAGTAAAGAGGCTGCAGGACATTTGCAGCAATAAAGATGCAACAAAAGAGCGGGGAAAGGTGAAAATTGGAGATTTCTTTACAAATAAATGCAATTTGTTACACACACGTGTTCTGATATGTTCTGCAACACACTACATGTCATGTCACTCGGGAGTTACATCTCCTTCACTGATCACACACGTCCTGTATACGGAAAACCAAATCCCTGAGGACCAAAACGCAGCCAGAAATGCTCCATAATGACCAACAACGCCACCAGATACAACCACAGTGACCCCTGCTGGGAGCGCTCAGCTATACACCGCGCACACAGCAAATCCTACACTGCCACCTAGTGTCACCATTGTGAACTGCACACACTGTGCTTATACACTGCACAGCTCACACACGTTATAAATCTGACCTCCGTCCTTCTCTTCAGTCTTCTATCCGACCTCCGTCCTTCCCTTCAGTCTTCTATCTGACCTCCGTCCTCCCCTTCAGTCTTCTATCTGACCTCCGTCCTCCCCTTCAGTCTTCTATCTGACCTCCGTCCTCCCCTTCAGTCTTCTATCTGACCTCCGTCCTCCCCTTCAGTCTTCTATCTGACCTCCGTCCTCCCCTTCAGTCTTCTATCTGACCTCCGTCCTCCCCTTCAGTCTTCTATCTGACCTCCGTCCTCCCCTTCAGTCTTCTATCTGACCTCCGTCCTCCCCTTCAGTCTTCTATCTGACCTCCGTCCTCCCCTTCAGTCTTCTATCTGACCTCCGTCCTCCCCTTCAGTCTTCTATCTGACCTCCGTCCTCCCCTTCAGTCTTCTATCTGACCTCCGTCCTCCCCTTCAGTCTTCTATCTGACCTCCGTCCTCCCCTTCAGTCTTCTATCTGACCTCCGTCCTCCCCTTCAGTCTTCTATCTGACCTCCGTCCTCCCCTTCAGTCTTCTATCTGACCTCCGTCCTCCCCTTCAGTCTTCTATCTGACCTCCGTCCTCCCCTTCAGTCTTCTATCTGACCTCCGTCCTCCCCTTCAGTCTTCTATCTGACCTCCGTCCTTCTGTAATGTTGTTGATGGGGGAAGCAGACACGACGGACAGGAAGCTGCCATTACACTCCATGTAGTTCTGTCCTCCCCTCAGCACAGCTGCCTTTGGATTGGAATTCACGTGTAAACGTCACCGTTGTGACTGCTGCAGCTCACAATGAATTGCCCTTCACCCTGGGATTGGTCAACTCTGGCCCTCCAGCTGTGCTTTAACTACAAATCCCATCACCCCTCTGCCTCCCCCTGTGCAAAACACAAAGACAACGAGGAGAAAACACGTTTCAAGTCTCAGGAACACCATAAGAAAAAAACACGAAAAACACCTAAAAATGTGAGAAAACGTGACGAGTGGGCGGCCGACGCGAGAAGTGAAAACGCAAAGTGTTGTATCTGAATGTCACTTACCTTTCACTGCGGGTGAATCTGAGCGTCAGCGACACGGGTGATACGACCGAGGAAAATAACCCCATATGAGGTGTGAGACGCGTAGAAGGGCGCGGTGGGCGGGGACTCCAGGGTCACATGTCTCTGATATAATAATACATATAGGATCTGTGCGGAGGGAGAAAGGGAAGGGGGGGGGGCAGAGGGCGAAAGAGAAAAAGAGAAGGAAGAAGGAGAGGGAAGTAGTAGGAAGGAAATGGAGGAAGAAGGAAGGAGAAGGGAGTGGGGACAAGGAAGGGCATAGAAGGAAGGGATGGAAACAAGATGAGGAGGAAGGGAATGGAGGGAAAAGGAAATGAAAGAGAGGAAGAAGCAAGGGAGGTCAAAGAAAGAAGGAAAGAGAAGGGAGGAGGAGGAAAGAAAAAGAGAGGGAGGAGGAAGTGTGTGAAAAGAAAGGGAAGGGAGAGAAGAAATGAAGGAGAAGTAGGGGAAGGAGGTGAGGTAAGAAGGAGACAAGAGGGAGAAGGAAGGGAGAGAAAGAAAGAAGGAAAGAGAATGGGTGGAGGTGGAGTAGGAAAGGAAAAGAGAGGAAGAAGGAATGGAAGGGTGGGAAAAGGGAGGGAAGTAGAGGGAGTAGGAAGGGAATGGAGGGAAGAGAGGAAGGAGACGTAAAGGAGAGAGGAGGAAAGAGAAGGGAGGGGAAGAAGGAAGGAACGAGGGGGAGGGAGGAGTAGGAAGGTAGTGGTAGAGAGATACAAGGGGAAGGAGAAGAGGAAAGGAAAGAGAAGGGAGGGGAAGAAGGAAGGAACGAGGGGGAGGGAGGAGTAGGAAGGTAGTGGTAGAGAGATACAAGGGGAAGGAGAAGAGGAAAGGAAAGAGAAGGGAGGGGAAGAAGGAAGGAACGAGGGGGAGGGAGGAGTAGGAAGGTAGTGGTAGAGAGATACAAGGGGAAGGAGAAGATGAAAGGAAAGAGAAGGGAGGGGAAGAAGGAAGGAACGAGGGGGAGGGAGGAGTAGGAAGGTAGTGGTAGAGAGATACAAGGGGAAGGAGAAGAGGAAAGAGATGGAGGGGAGAAAGGACGAAGACAGAAGGGAGAGAAAGAAGGAAAGAGGGGAGGAAGTGGAAGGGAGGGAATGGAGGGAAAAAAGGAAGGGGACGGAAGGGAGAGAAAGAAAGAGAAGGGAGGGAGGGGAAGGACGGTGGTACAAGGAAGGGAGGAGGGGAGGAGTAGGAAGGAATGGTGGAGAGCTGCAAGGGGGAAGGAGAAGAGAGGAAATGGGGGGGGAGAAAGGAAGACGTGTGGGAGGGGAAGGCAGGGAGATG